TTGCACGTATCTTTTACAGAAATTCTCTGTATCTTATATTAACTCGGCGCGCGTCTCGTAGCAGTTTATAAACCAGTTATAGGCCGATCTATCATTGTCGGAAATAAATCCATTTTGAAAATTGCATCTACTTTTTCTGCATCTAAACTATTCTAATACCTCACTACGGTTATTTTTAAGCCAAATACGAAGTTCCTTATACGATTTCGTCGTATTACTAAATACGAAACCATGAATAAAAGGCCGACACCTTTTGAAATTCTACATTTCAATTTCTGACAATGTTGAAACATGCAGCTTGCGAATTAATTCGTACATAAAATATATAATTCTTCCATAGATAATACAAATTGTAGTATGAATTATGGTAAAAGGGAAAACGCGAAAAAAGAGCATAAATTCTACGTTCAAATTTTCGATGGAAACTCGACTATCTTTATAAATCAATCTACTCCCTCATCGCGCGCGCGTACAAACAGGCCCTAAGGCAAGGTTAACTCATTAGCAGCACTTCTTCCCCTGCATATACGTCGCGCCGGTGTCATCTGTTCTTTCAGAGTTTCCTTCGAGAATTTCGTCGACTTGCAAGAGTCCTCGGCACATCGCTTCATTAACGACCTCCTTGACGACGTCGTCGTTGTCGTCGTCTAGCTTAATTATTCCACCGTCACCCGGTACACGTGTTCCGAAGCTTCCATTGGACCAAACTCGGTTCTTTTAATTCCCCTTTATATCGCCACTCGGGCCACTAGGTTAATGGAGTGTCGTCATTCGTTGTCATTATCGTCGACGATAGGACCTCCACATTCTCATTTCGCGAATCGTCCCGTTGTTACGAAGAGGCTTACTTGTGCTGCTGCAGCGATAGCTTTTGCAAACGATGCTCGCGTTGCTCTAACGTTTACGAAAGTTACATTACCCCCGTCCCCCGTTTCCTTCATCAACGCGCTATTATTAAGAATAATAACAGCGCAAAATTTGAGTTTGTTAGCGGCAAAGATCTTGGTAAAATGCGAAAATAAAATTTACATTTCCAAAATTAAGTTTTATATCTGTAATTTAATATCGTGTCTATATTAATTCCAAGTCTATATTAAGTTTTACATTTATATAATCGTAATTAAATTACACCAGTGCCACATTTCGTCACAAGTTTTATCAAATTACAAATGCAAATCTCATGCATTTGCGCGGCTTATAAAAACTTAGTACCGCAATCTCTCTGTCTCTTTCAAAATTGCCAAATCTCGAAATAAATTTTATTTATACGCTTATAAATATATATGCCACGTCATATATTATTCACACGAGCGACCGCGATTATTATCTCGACGCAATCGCTCTGCGGTTCTCTTCCGCTCCTTCTTTTACGGCCACTTTCCATCCGCATTGAGATTTATTCCGCTTTTTCCTATAAGGAGTTCTTCTTGCGGCGGTGTCACGCATGAGTACTGATACTCTCTTATCAAAGGAAATAAAACACGAGGTTACGAAAATGGTCAGAAATGCTCACGTACGTCAGCCTTAATCGTTTAGCGATAATTATTGTATTTTTAATATGTATATGTTTCATAATGTGCAGGGGAGAAAGAAGTTTCTTTTATCTACTTGTTACAGATACATATTGATACTTTACATACTTTAGATACGTGTTGCAAAATATATATAAATTAATAATTACAGAAAGTTTTAAAAAAAAACTTGCAAGTATCAGACCGATAATGTATATCTTATATTTTCTTTTAAGAAAAAAATTGGTGCTGATAATTAACGCAGCCATAATACATTTGCAGCGATACGACGGTAAAGATAAAAATTTATATTAAAATTACTCGACGGCTATTTTAATGAATATCTTACAAATAAGTAACATTTTATAATAATTTTTATAAAGTTTTGATTTTTTCTAGGAAATGCCAATAGTCACTATCTTTCCGTAACATTTAGAAATTAGTAGAACGATGATCGTCCTCGCAATTAAGTACATGAATCTGTCGCTAAAAATAGGATTTCTGTTTCAATTGTGTTTGACTGTGTTCGACGTTCTTTAGCGTTACGATTACATTCATGAATAGCAATGCTTCTAGTCAGTCTTGCGTAAAATCGACGTGTAATGAGTGTCAGACACACGAGAGATTTATAAAGTGCAATAAAATCATTTTGCCGGTTAGTTTTTAATATATCTTGCAACGATTTGAGATATATTTTCTTGCGTCGGAATTATCCTCGGAACCCTCAATACTTAATGTACGGTGTATTTATCGGGACGGGGCTTAGCGAAGACATGCAATATTTACGGACTGTGAAAAGTTTTGCGCGCCGCGAAATCCTGACTTTCTACGAAACCTCGGAAAATTCACGAGACCTTATAAAACGTCATAAACTTGAACGAAACTCGGCGTAACCTCTTAAACTTCTATAAAAGCAGTGGGCTCTCATGAAATTTGTATGAGGCTGTAAAAATATTTAATGATCTTGCGAAAAGTAATCGAGATCTCGGGATAATCGTGACACGTTTTTCTAACGACTTAGCTGCGGAGTATTGTTATGTCGACTTGTTCCTCGACGCAAGTATTTGAAAGGCCGATAATTTTTATAGCAGTTTGATTGAAACTCCACCTTTTACATATAAGAATAACATTTAATCCACAATTTCCTGAATTTTCCTCATAAACATTAGATTTATCGACAGGAATTTATCCAATGTATACAGTTGTTTATATTATCAATTTACAATATATTAAAATGATAAATATTTAGCCACAAGTGTTTCATGCGATATGCAATTTTTGTTGTCGTTTATTTTGTACCTAAATTAATTAATGTTTTATTCAAAAGGTACCTCATCTGTTGGCAGCAAAGTGATATAATATTATCACCAGTCAAAATTTGCAACATTTTTGGAAAGTTTCTATCGTTGATTGTAGAAATTAACGCTCCTAAATATTAGAATAACGATCAATAATATAGCTTCGCTCTTTCATGTTCATACATTATGCAGAATGCGAGTTGGTCGATTACTTGGGCCGCGTCGATAATTTAATCGTTTGTCAACATATGCCTGTTGAATGCGAAAGGGAGAGGAGGCGGGGTCGACGGCCTTGTTAAATGGAAATCGAAATCGACGGGCACGGCCGTCCTCGCGTTCGCGATTGTTGCGCAAGTCGGGAATTCTCGATCGTGAATCACGATCGTCGGACTGACTACGCCCACGTGCGCGTCGGCTGTTGTGCAAGCCAAGATGCAAATGCTTGTCACACTTACCGAGTTCCTCGTGTTCCACTGACCTTAGTCTAGCCGAGAAATAATGCTGGGAAAGAGAGAGTGAAAGAGAGATAGACTGATCGAGATTTATCGCGCGTAGACAAGCGAGTCATGATCTGCGTTTCTACGAGTCACGCAGAGGTGCGGTGCATTGAATAGCGTATAAAAATGCTTGAATAAACGCGTACTATTTTATGCCGTAATAGCATGAAAAATGACTGGAAAATATCACGAATTACAAGATCAAAGAAAATATTAATCGAGTAATAAAAAAGAGCTCAGAGCCTGAATAAGAGTGTCCGATAAAATAATTTTAATTATAAATGTATATATGCGTTTCGGTCCTTATTGGACCATACCTCAGTAAAAAGAAGAGATAAATTCGATTTAATACATGGATGGATTCGCAAGTTAAATATCTACAGAGAATTACGCAGTCATTAATATAAAATTAAAGGACAAAAAGTTATCATCAATTTTAACGCATGGATGGATTCACAAATTGTTGGAAATATTAATCTTTTCTTTGGCTAACTTTTCATATATTTAACTATTAGAGTAAACGTACTAATAAGAATATGTAACAAACGATTTACGATGGTAGATGTGACGTAACTACTAAGGGGATAAAACAAAACAAAAATTTTTCTCATTGAACTCCTCAAAATAAATGAAACGACTGAAAGTTTACGTTACATTAAATTAAAGGTGATGCGCAAACGGGTGAAGTTATATTAAACTACAGTGCTATCGTGTTCTGCAAGACTATAAACTCATCGCAACAAAGTCGTGATCACGTGCTTCGTTCCTTACAAAAGGACGAGGCGAGGGTGTCAAAGTGAAGCTTGGCATAATACTGAAGGCCACTTCTCTTGATCCAGCGTATCGCGTAACCTGGTTATGGCGCAGCAAGTGCATCCCTATTGTCCCTACTTGAGAGCAAACGCTGTTATTTCGAATCGCTCTAGCGCTAATTTCATTGCCTTTCTTCCATGGGATCACGTAGCTTTTCTAGCACCGGCTTTATCCTTTAAAAGACTATCACCTTCCGCCTTCATTTCAGCTATCCTCTCTCCAACCGTTCTCGACATTCCGTTTGCCATCCCTATTTAATTAGTATTAGTTGCCACTTTACCCCCACGACAATAATGCCGAAATAACGAAACGGCTGTAGAGAACGCTCGTCTGTTTTTGATAATGAACGGTATGTTCCTGCGATGTGTGCCTTATCACGCAACAATGTGCGTCTTCCCGTATTTGTTACCAACAATGCTTAGTACGAATGTTTATTGCAACTTTAACAAATTGTGAACAAACGTCCAAGTTTCAGTAAATACGCAGCTGTACTTAAGTTCTCTAAATAATTATAATACATATACTGTCCCTCATTATTTCATTATTTCAATTTTATTATCACGTATTATCACGTCGTGAATCATGTATATGCAATATTTTTGCATCATATTATTCATGGCCAGTTTTTTAAATTCACACAGAATTGCTTGACACACCAACTTGACATAAAATACTTAATGCTTTTTCTCTAACAGACAATTCGTTTATTGAATTGCTGTTTATCTAGAGTTTTATCTCTCGATTGTCAAATGCGCAGTGTCGTTTCTTTCTTTCTATCCCCACGCTACATTACTCAATTAACTTGTATCGGACATTTATGAAACCACGAAGCTACAAGAAACTACTGTGATTAATGATGAGAGAAATATAATTGTTTTCAGGTCGTTACTGGTGATCTTCGCCGCGCTATGCGCGACGTGCAGTCGCGCTGACTTCTTCAGCGGGAAGGGTGAGTTTCATGAAGTTAATTTCAGCGCTAATGGACCCCACGACTCTCGCGGGGATTTCGCAACCATTTGTACGTCCCTGTCCTTTCGCTTGTCTTATTCACTGACGATCCGCGCTGCAATATTCTCTCTGGGGGATCCTTTCCCGAGCGAGGTACCTCGCGCGAATATTCAGCAGCTTTTTTATTCGGCAGCGTTCTCTTTTTCCGCGCTCGCGGCGACGATTCGCCTTACGTGACTGGTGATTTATTACTATGTTAAGTACGGAATGTATTTAGTCAAGCGATGAATAATGATATCGGGCGATAAGGACGGCGGACAAATTGTCGTGGATGTGCATGAATCTATATATGTCGCGGCTAACGTGTCGTACGTGATGGTTTCAATTATATGTATTATAACGTTATAGATCATAAATAACGTTATTGAATATATTACAATACTGATAATAATAAGCGTCAAATTTGAATAACTGACAGAAATTAGATTGTTAGATGCATTTCCTTTTAACGTCGATTGCGATGGCGTATTATAAACGCTTTACATGAATTACACTCGATTCCACATCTTTCGGAAAATATTATTTGCCACTCCGAGAGTAAATTTCACGCTGCAACAGATGTTTTTTATCAGCTTTGTCTTCATCCCGAGCGCCTGATACTTCTTTTTAGAGGCGAGGCAGTTGAAGCAGTAAATTGAATCAGTGAATTGGACAATTTATATTGATAAATGTAATTCTGTTGACCGTAATGTCGATCGAGTAATTTGTTTTTAACCTTTGCAATGGCCAGTATTCGTTTCCCGTTTCCCTTAGTTCGCATTCAAGCGAAAGCAATCGATCCTATTCTTTTTCAGAAAAAAAAATTCTATTGCGTCAAGTCACACACGAGATTCCCAGGCTCTTCATCAAACCGAGAATTTCGTTTAATTTGTTATGCGCAATTTTAAAGGAGCCAGTCGTAAATTACATTTTTTTCTCCATTATTTGCAGTTTGTACAGTAACGTTTCCAATCGGTTAAAGTTTAATGCTCATAAAATCATAATCGTTAAGCATTACCGTCGTAGTCGCCGTCGTTATCGATTAATTATTTATTTAACGGGCATAAATAGCTTTTGTATCGACAAGTTCGGAAATACTTGAAAAATGCACGACAGTTTGCAATCTGACCCACTAGCAGTTATCACGTGTTTAAAGTATTAAATCGTTGGCTTGGGTCGATGCTTTTATTGTATTTATAACGGAAATGTTATGCAGAGATTGAATATGATCGAGTTCTTTTCTAGCGTGTACAAAATTGAGTAAACAACTAAGTAATTGTGACATACGACTGACCAGTACATATTAATCAAATTTTTACCTCCAGACGTAACTGTGCAATGCGCCCCGCTCGCATCGTCGAGATTCTTAATACTCAGGGCGGATTCTGCGCTCTCGTCACGTCTTACTCTAATCTGCCAGTTTTATAAGGATACCTCGACGATTCCTGAGGGAATCTGGGGATTTTTCACTTCCCCTTCCTGACAAGAGAACCGCCAGTTGCTCACCTCCGCAGTAGTAAAGCCGACGTATGGCCCGACATGCCGCAATCCCGTAATCTTGCGCTGTATTCTCGCATCCCTTAGAACTGTTACTATCTATTTATTCCCCAGAGACGGCAAGACAAAGTTTTTAATAACAGGATATATTTCCAATTTGATTACAGATATATCAGTCCGATTACAAAATTCGTGTATCGAAAATTGAGCTGCGTGTTCGAATGATAAAAATACAAGTAAATTTTATGATTTGCCATTAGTAAAAAGTATAGTGGACTAGGTAGCTCTTATGTAATAAGAATAATTCGCGCGAAAGTGTAGCGTCTTTTTTACTTACAAAATTCTCTCGACATCGCCACGAAAACCGCTAAGAATTCAGATGAATCATCCGCGTCTCGTGGACGAGTTAATAAAGTGTCTTTGAGCATAATTAGTCTACTGTCTTCTTTTGAAATGCGGCGATTATTATCATCGCGTCTTTCGTCCCCGTTTCTTTCAGGACTTCATAACCCGCGGCGCCGTCCCGCAAACGCAAAGAAAATTTAATCTAGCACCAACGGTTTTGATTAAGAATAATAAAACGACAAGAACGACGCTACCACTTTGCCTCGTCGTAATAAGAACGAATTAACGCAAGATTTTAGTTTGCGTTTACTCTTGCGTGATATATTAAAAAGTTCCTTATTCACGCTGCGTCCCCGGTGCGAAAGTCATTCGTGTTTTTTCGTTTCTTTCCTTAGCACTTTTCGCGCTCGTTTGATCAAGAGGTTCAGAAGATCGTGACAATTACGATCTCGGCGAGTTGCTATCGGAAGAATCGGTCCGCTTCGGGGTTCTGCGCTTCGCTTATCAGAAGCGGATGCAAGGGGGCCGCGAAAGGGGTTGCGGGAGGATGGCGATAGTAGGAGGGGACCGGTGGCACAGGATGGAGAAAGGGGCGGCCCCGGGACGAATAGCTCCCGCAGGATGCGAGATAACGCTGCTCATCCCCGCAGCCTCATTTGTATCCACCCCGTACCGTTTCCCGCGGAAACCGCTACTTTTTGCATCTACCGTCTACCTCGTCAATATTTAACGGGCGCTCGTCGATCAACGCGATTGCGCGGCGATGTAGAAATGAGAATTTTTCGGGCCGCCTTCCGCCACGTTCTTATGGATCGCTCTCGTAAGTTCTCCTCGAAGGGATCTGTTGCCGGTTGGGATAGTTCGCGAATGCCTGCACTGTGCGGTTCAAAAGATCGCGCAAAACAAAACTAGATTCTTTGTTGGCCGTTTATTAAATTACACGAAGAATGTAAAAAGTATTTAATGAAAATTGTTTCCAAGATGTTTACTGCAATATCTTATATACTTTTAGGCGTGGACTCTCCTGCTTGAAAGAATATAAACGCATAATACATATGTGACATTTTAATTGATAAAATATGTGAATTTTTAAGAAATCTTTTCAATTGCAAATAATGTTTTCATGTTTTATGTAAATATACGTACACTGTATATTTTTGCTTAGCTCAAGGTTAGCCTAGCCTGCCTGTGACAGTGAAATAAATATAAATTTTAGGTTTATCTTTTATTTCTCCATTGAGAAATAGAGGTTTTGATCATTCAATCGGCACCGAGGAAAATAATTTTGTGGATTACAGTTTACTACTATAATTAAGAAATTCACCGGTCGATCCGTATCACTGTCTAGTTTATGGATAGAAAAGGCGCAACAATGAGTGAATATCGTAATACACGTCATTCATATTAGTCGCCGAGTGAATAAATGTTGCGGCAAGGCATTGCAATACGGACAGCAGAAACAGATAAATTGGCATCGTGCAGTCGCCGGCTGATTTACGATCGCGTGTTTCGATAGACCGATTCGCGGATGTGCGAGCATTCGGACTGCTCGCCGCGGGCAGCAATCGGCTGCGATAGGCAACCATAAAGATGGCCAATTTTTGTTCCGATGACAGATTGAATCGGGCCCGCGAAAACGAATCGAACGGGGGATGCCATCCGCGGCGCGACGCGCGACATGATTTTTGTATCAACCTAATCCGCTCGCGACTAGAAATTTTATCGTAACTCGGGTGGTTTTCGTTTGTTTTACAGCGGTGCGAGATTACGGGATTCGCGGAAATAATCTTCAGCGCGATGTATAATACCGGTGGAGAATCGTGTTCCCCATTTTTACTTGTCGGCCACGCACGCTCCCCCCCCCCCTCTCTCTCTCTCTCTCTGTCGTGCAAAAAGCTGCAAAATTAAACGCGTTTCCTAAAGCGGATGGAAATCGTGCGCGGCGTTCAAATCCAATTTCCACAAATTTATCTCGAGGCAAGGATAAATGCGTTTTATTGTGCGATTTCGCGCGCGGATTTATTCCTTGAAAAACATTTCTTATAGATATAGATATAGATATAGATATAGTTTTATAAACGGACCCTTTATTTCTTTGTATCGAAAGAGATCACGGTGAGTCAAGGAAACCATTGTTTTCTCTTTCGCGATGTGCTTATGGTAATCTCTCACTCGAGATCTCGTCGCGTTTGTCTCTGTGATTCACAACATACGTTATTAAAGTTATAGCGGTAACATCGAATTTAGTATTTGTAGCAAACGAATAATGTTTATCGGATTTTTCTTCAAGCAGCATCGAGCTACTCGTGTTCCATTCGTGAAAAGAATAATTCTGACTCGACATTCGCCCAACCTCGAAATGTTACGATTAATAGAAAATCATGCACTGTGTTCTTGCAACGAATTACGAAACGATCGTAGATAAACGTAAATATTATGACGAATGTATGCAGAGAGAAAGTAGCATAATGTAGAAACTAAATTCTGAAGTTAATAAGTTGTTTTTCGTCATTGCGAGATATTTTTGTTTAATAGATTCGATTGTATCATTGAATTGGAAATATTTTCGCGCAAGCTGTGCAGAAAAAAAAACTAGTTTCTCCATTCCGCATAAATACATTGTAGAAACAAAGATACATTTAATGATATCACATTAGGTGAGAAACGTATTTTAAATAACGTTGCAAATTGAAAATTTCTTTTGAGAAAAATGTTCGCGGAACAATTTGCATCCGCTGCTTTTATTCATGTTATCAATGTTCTATTCAGCATGCCCGAGAGAAAGCAGCTACGAAGTCGAGCTAATAAAAGAAAAATATTGGGTTTGACATTATGGAAAATAAAGGAATCCTCGGCGCGAGAGCGCCGGATAGTCTAATTTTCTAAAAACAGATGAGAGACGTTTGCGCGATTAAAATTTATGAGACCGCGATCTGCGAGCAGTTAAAAGTCTAGGAAACGCGAAAGTCCATAGTTTATTTTCCGTCTTCCACTTCCGAGAACGAAAGTGAAATTAAGGCGTGCCGCAGGCTGTGAAAAATTTATTCTCCTGGATTGATCGTATCTTTCGCTGCTGAAAAGTTCTATTTCCGTACGGTTTTAGGTCCAGCCAGCCGACAG